ATTGGCTAGAATGTCAATGGAATGATAGAAAACATCATTCGCAGCCTAGAAGTAATAGATTTAGTTTATAAAAGCAGAACAAACCGTAATATTTTGAGCATATGTAATACTAAGTGAGACCTGCTGGCATCCCAGGCAAATTTAAGTGCCAGTCAATAACTCTGCACACCTCGTATTGACTTGGTAGAGGTGAGCTGTGCTTTGCCGTCGGGGAGAAGGAAGAACTGTGGCTGGAGAAAGGAAGCTGATGGTCAGTTTGGAAGAAATGCCCACAGACCGTGGGTCTCAGGGAGGTAGGGCAGGTAGATCTATCCAGGAGCACGGAAGGGTGGATAATCCTTTCCGGGACTCCAGGGGGGCTCAGCCACTGGTTGTTCCTTTCCTCCTTGGATCAATCTCAACCATCAGATAACCGAAGCTGAGCCTGGCTCATGACAAAGGCTTCCATCGCATGATTGCCCATCTTAATAAACTGCTGCCTATGTTCACACCAATTGTATCTTGGCTGCCCGTCCCCTGGAGTTGTTGCCAACAAAAAAGGCGAGTCACAGCAGCAGCATGGGATGTTGGGCGGGGTGAACTCAGATTTAGGTAAGAAAAGCAAAAACTCCTAATGCAAGGAACAGGGAACAGGTCAGTATTACTGGTTGTATTCAGGGGTGCTCTGCCCTATGCACAGAAAGCCTGTGAACTTTGCAGGCATTACTCAGATCTAGAGAGAGAACAACAACAAACCTGCTTCTGCCTGCAAAGATAGTTCACGTGAAATTAGGGGGATAGATGAGCATGGCTGTGTCTAAAGGCAGAGAGGGAATAAGTCTGGAAAACCTTGTGAATAAAGGAACAAAGCTGTTATCACATCAGTCCAGTGAAGCATTTGCATATGTCTTTAATACTGACAACTCCCCCATGTCACCTGCCAAGAATAAAACAAACATCACATCAACGTTGCCCAAGTCTGATGAAAATACTGAGCCCAACACACCCAACTGTGAGAAATTCTCACATGGCAGCAACAGCCATGGCTGACTCGGGGGCTAAAGCTTCACAGTGCTGGTAGCCTTCAGGTTGTCTTGGGTTTGCTGCAGAGTGAGACTGCTGGTTACGAGATGGAGTCACCTTTCTGTCTCCCAGGACCTCGTTTACTGAGAAAAAATAGGTGTCTGACTGAGACACAAAGGTAAACCTGAAGTACATTGCCTCCAACAGCAATGTGATGAACACAAAACTCTGATGGGGATAGGAGGGACTCCAAATCGCATTCATTCCTTCTCCCCCCCGTCCCTCCCCAAGAAAAAAATGCCAATGCATCTCAGCCATTTGGAAATACTCCAATCACTTTCCAAATGTTTGCAGACCAACAGTTCAATTCTGAAACATTTTGCAGCTTAGCTAACTCAGCTAATTGAAGCTAATTCCTCTCTGCGTCTTTCCCTTTTCACCTTCCCAGCAAGGTGAGACCCAACTGAGATTAACAATAGCAGCACTAAGTAGTTCAGCGCATCTTGCAGGGGTATGGCAGTGTGAGGCCCTTCTTAGCTGAACTCCCAAGGAATGAAAGGTTTGTCTAAATAATTCAAGCGATGGCCTTTTCGGTCCCACTATACATCCAAGATGTGCTGGGCAAACTCAGAAAAATGCATGATTTCAACACATATAAAAAGAAGGTTCTGAAAATGCATCCCCTTGTTAACAAGGATGCAAAGAAACCGATGGGATCAATTCTAGTGTCATCTGCACCAATTTTAGATTGGGGTCCCCTTTTGATTCCACTGGGGCTATGCCAAGGTGGTATCTGTGCAAGGGAAAGGAAACCCCAACCTGAAGTCATGCAAGGCAACTGGACAATCCCATAGAGACTGCTAAATCTCAGGTAGTTTATATCTCCAACATCCCATCCCTTAGCAGACAGCCATGCAGGGAACACAGTGCTTGGAAATGTCAAAATCACATTTCTGCTGAGACTGAGGTCTCAACAAAACCCTGAATTTCAGTGCCCCTGAATATGGAGAAAAAATTTCCGACATTGGATCTGGACTGCACAGCTCAGACCATGCCCCTGTTTCTGTTCCCAGGAATGGGCATTTTCCTAACTCCGTCCTTGTTCTTAAGTTTCCTGCACGGTTAAGGCAGTTGTGGGATGGAAGTGAAGTGCTGACAGGCGAAGGCCCATACTGCAATTTGGGAAGCGGGAGGACGTCTGAGACTCTTCATTTGTTATTCTATAACAAAAATTGGGTCGCAGGCAAAACTGGCTCGTGGTTTTGAAATCAGAAGAAACAAAGAGCCTGCTGGGATGGATGAAGATTTTGGTCTGTGTGTTTTCTTTAAACTAAAGCTCTGCTCTTGAATCTGTACCAAAGCACTGTCAGTAAAGCCCCTCATGACGCAGGCATCTGATATATCCTTAAAAAAAAAGAGTGGGATGGGAGAGAGCTTTTCAAAAGTCGCATTATCAAAAGAAAGAAAACAACAATCATGCGGGAATTTTAAGTTACAGTTTAAAAATAATGTAAGTAAGCCCATTCAACTGTGTCTCCCATACATACCGAGAGAAGAGATTAAATGAAAAAAAGTAAACAAAAATAAAAATGAAAACGTTAAGTGCCCTGGAATCCTGTTTCTATAACTCTGGTCAAGGGGGAATTTTGACTGTACTGACAAACCACACCGGGAGTTTGTTTTGCATCACGTCAGCATGCTATTCTCCTTCACCTTGGACTTTCAGAGGGGAAAAAAATGAAATTGTGAAAGGGGTTATAGAATTTCAAGCAATCAGGCTTTTACAAAGGTTCTATTCTGTGACATTTGTGTTCGAGTCTGAATGTGTGTGTATAGTATAAAATTATGAGCTAACATTTGAAAAGACAGCAGTCTAAGTAATAAATTTTTGGAATGAAGAGAACTGTACAGAATGATTTCAAAGGCTTATACTTGACAATTATACATATTTTATGAGACAGTTATGCACCCGGTGCCTTTTTTAAATTCATTGTTTTATGGATGCAGTATCTCTATTTTAGCAGACAGGATATACCAAACCAATCTAATGGTCTAAAAAGCATCATTTACCACCCAATATAACAATGGCACTGCACAGCTTAATAACTTATTTTTTTTTCCTCAAACTCCTTCATTAATCAAGTGATTCTTAACATGGCTGAAAACCAAGAATCAAATATCTGCAGTTACAATATTTGTTGAGTATTTGGCACAGTGGAGTTTATTTGAGACACCCTTTTTTTTTTGCCCTTCTTGTTGCTGAACATATAATGCTGTGCATAAATTACAAACACACATGTAAAGTCAGTCAAGTGGAAGCAGTTTGATACCCCACACCCATGTTTCAATGCCTAGATAAGAGCAAAGGCTGCTAAAAAGGTGTTGAACATGAGTGGCAAGTTATCAACCCTCTGTAATTGTGCCAGCTCTGGGGTGTCCGCTGCCAGCAATGGACAAGGACTTGGGGAAGATCAGCCCTTCCACCAGCTGCATGGAAGTGACGCCCAGCATTCAGTTTGACATGCCAAGATACTTCTCTAAACATCTGCAAGCTCACAACAGCTTCAAAATACAAATGAAAAAAAGGAGCTTTTTGATTATGATGCTAACCCTTAAAACCCTTCTGACATTTAGTCCATTGGAAATGGGTCTGCTTCCCGGGGAAAACTCATCAAACACAAC